ATATAAATAAATAAATAAATATATTATATATTTATATTTATATTTATATATAGATATATGTATATGTATATACATATAAATAAATAAATATAAAATAAACTTACGTATAAGAAATATTCCTTAGAAAAAACGTTGAATAATAACAAAGGTAGTTAACTTTATTCCAAGATACAAATACAATTCCAAGAAGGAAGCGAGAGAGACGACTGCTATACTGCAACTGCGTTCTCGTAGTTCGTAGAATTCAAAGTTTGCACCGCGAGAAAATGAATTTACGGTTAGAAAGAATATATTATACGAAATTATACGAATTCGTACGAACGTAGAGGTAAAGTATGTCGTGTTTGAGAGAGCTAAAGGTTTAAGATACGCGTATACACTTTAATACGTTCGAGACTCTACTAAGAGTCTGACGATTGCGCGGAGTAGTTTTATAACCTGTGATGTGTACATCGGGTGGATTGAGAGGTGGGGGGAAGAGGAAAGTGTGGGTAGAATAAAAGAGCGTGGAGGAGTGGGGGTAACCGAATGGAAAGAAGGCTGTCTGCCGACACTACCACAGTGGTGGCGGTGGTGGGGGTGGCAAGAGAGGAACGGGGAGAGGGAAATCACGGGGACTACCCTCTCCTTACCCTCACCCACCTAACCCATTCGTCCGTCTCCAGTACCGTCCCTTCGTTCCAAGGCGCCCCTCACTCCCCTTTTTTTATTTCTTTTTTTATTTATTCTTTTGACTAGAATACCCAACCTGTATAGTATACGAAGGAGAAACGCATTGTTTCCACTTTACATGTATTATTTATATACAAAATGCTTGTTTCTCTTCTCTTCTCTTCACTTCTCTTCTCTTCTCGTATTTCCTACTAGAATTGTATCCTCCCTACCCATCGTTATTCATCATTTACCATGGCAGAATAAACTGGATCGATCGAGAAATTAATTATATTATCGCGACACGTAAAAAAAGAAAAAAGAAAAAAGAAGAAGAAGATGAGTTTTAAACTCGTAACAGTCGTTTTTCATCGTTCGATGTCCTACCAAGCGATTTCGCTCTGTGTCGATTGGTCAAAGGTTTCATCTTCTTGGCATATATGTACACCAAGTTGATGATATATTAATAATGTGGAATCATACCATACTCAGATAGTTTACTTAGTCATTTATTTTTTCTTTTTTTGTTCTTTTTATTTTATTTTATTTTTATTTTTTTTTCCCATTCGCGGTTAATCAGTTCGAACATTTTAAATAAAACGATAATTTCATTAATTCGTATTAAAAAGCTATCATCTATCTATCGTTTTATCGTCGAGTTTAAAATTTCGATGTATAAATAGTTTTATTCTCATTTTAATTTTTTATATTTTATTTTTTGTGTCTAAACGTGTGTTATTTTTTTCTCTCTCACTCTTGTAAATTGGACAAATCTATTTTTTTTTTTTTTTTACGATAAAGCACTATATTAAAACGTGATGGAAATATAAAAAGATTCTAATTTGAAAGCATGAAAGGAGAAATCTCGTGTTTACGATCTGTACAAATATGATGTGTAATTCGTATGTATTCTTATGAAAATGAAACCCAAAAGGAATGATATTTTTGTTCGTTTTAAAAGATCGTAATTTTTTTCTTTTCTTCCTCTGCTTTTTCTTAGAAACTACATTACACATAAATACGAATATATATCCAAAAATACTAGGAAGATCTTTTTTATTTTTTTATTTTTTTACAGATATTTCTTCCCGATTGAGAGAATCTCTTTCTATTCATTGAAGAAATGTTATGTGACATTTTCTTGTTAAAGGCGTCGAGTAAAGTCACAAGTTACATGAATTGAATACCTTAGAAAGATCGTAGGTGAATTTGTTATGCT